GAAGCTTACAAAAAAGGGAGTGAATGCTATTTAGCAATACTTTATACTTTGATAGCTAACATCATTGAGAAGTATTCTATTTCTTTGCGATATAAAGCTGGACGTGTTTGATGCTCGTTGGTTTGCTTGTTGGTTCCGTTGTACCGTGAAATTACTAACTCGGAATGATCAAGATTAACTTTGAGGTGTCGTCGATTAAGGACAGCACGCTTACACTTCCAGAACACCTGTTCCTTCGCTTTGTCCTTCTTTCGCTTTGTATTCTTTCCTGAATCTCTTTTTAAATCGTTACTTTTGTTTATATTTTACCCTAGTTTTATTGAATTTAGTTTGGATCATAATGATATTCACATATTGGTATTTTTTCGATTTTGTTCATCTCATCTTACCTCCGGAAAGAATTAACCTGATTATTTCCTGCTGTTAAATCGAAGACTACAGCATCAAAACATTTTAATTACAACCAAATGCTGCACAAAACAATGTAAATTACAAAGCAAACAAACGCTGTACAATTCAGTGTCGATTACAAACATACGTTGCACCAACTGAACGTCGATAACAAACACGCGCTGCACAACTCAGTGTCGATTACAAACACGCGCTGCACAACTCAGTGTCGATTACAAACACGCGCTGCACAACTTAGTGTCGATTACAAACACGCGCTGCACAACTCAGTGTCGATTACAAACACGCGCTGCACAACTTAGTGTCGATTACAAACACGCGCTGCACAACTTAGTGTCGATTACAAACACGCGCTGCACAACTCAGTGTAAATTACAAACACGCGCTGCACAATTCAGTGTCGATTACAAACGCGCTGCACAACTCAGTGTCGATTACAAACACGCGCTGCACAATTCAGTGTCGATTACAAACACGCGCTGCACAACTCAGTGTCGATAACAAACACGCGCTGCACAACTCGGTGTAAATTACAAACACGCGCTGCACAATTCAGTGTCGATTACAAACGCGCTGCACAACTCATTGTCGATAACAAACACGCGCTGCACAATTCAGTGTCGATTACAAACACGCGCTGCACAACTCAGTGTCGATAACAAACACGCGCTGCACAACTCAGTGTCGATTACAAACACGCGCTGCACAACTCAGTGTCGATTACAAACACACGCTGCACTAGGTCAATGAACTTCACCTACTTCTGCATCTCCTTATTCAGCCTCTTCTTATCACTATGGCCCAGCTAGGCACTCATTAACTGGCGATGTAAGTAAAATGTTTAGCTTCATGAGCTATGCAAAGCTTTCAGGTGTAACTCAGGAATTGTAATTAATGGCATATGTTTTTTCAAAAATCTTCAAAGAGCTATTGACCGATCTTTACCGCGCTCTTCTGAGATCATTTTGTTTCTATAAGACCATTTTGATTTTCCATCAACAAAGCTCTTTTGGATTGAAGGAAAGCCTTCGTTCGCTCGATATTCGTCCTAAAAAGGTAAACGCTGGTACAAAAAACCACAAGTTTTAGTTTCTTATCATGAAAGCAAGAAAATATAATAACTTGTCAACAAAACCCTAATTCAAATACACAGTTTTTAAAACAATGTCAAAATATGAAAATATGAAGGTTTACATGGAGACTCAAAGCACAACAACAATAAGACCAGACGTTCCGGAAGGGTAAGCGTTTTCTGCTTCGTCGACAACAACGGTCATGTAAATCTTCCTCATCCATGTACGTAATGACCCTTAGCATCACTAACGAGTCCTAGAAAGACGTAACAGATACATGATGCAGTTTTATTCATTGTCTATATTGTATCTGATTTAAATTTGCTTTAAAATGTGTTATTCACATGTGTGTCTTTTGAACAATTTTCGGAATTGCAGGTGGTAGACACAGCTGGTGGATTATATTTCCCGAGCTCGGTGTTCCGTTAACCTGCACATGCTGTTTTAATTCATTCGATTTTCCTCATTTGCGTCCTAGGTTTAAATTTTAAGGCCTGTAACATCCTTGACGAGTCCGAGAAGGACGAAACAGTATGATACCGTTTAATTGCTTGTTTAGCTCTACTGTATCTTATCTAATTTATCAACGGGGGTTATTCACTTGTGTGCATTTTATACATTCTAAGAAATGGAATAAATCAAGACCTTTTGGGTAACACGACCCTATTCAATTACGGACCTGGTTTCCATTCCACAATGAGACAATCCAACTTTACAAAGTTACATTATCTAATAAATGTTGTACACACCTACATAGAAGAAACAGACAATAATATTACTTTTAGATACACTTCTACCCCTTCTTAGGATCAAAAATATACATGAACTTATATGATAGGGGTCAGGTGTATACCACACAATCAGTTTGAACACCATTTTTATATGCCTTATTGTTTGGCATGAGCATGTGATGTTGTATTTCATAAGCAGCTGTTTTCATTCGTATCTATTAATTTACATTGCAAATTGGACGTAACCCGTACAGCTTCAGATGAATAAGTACGTTTCAAACATTTGCAGTCACGAAAGATGATGCAAACATTACCTATATATCAGGCAACCTGTCTACGAATAAAATATATATCACATATATAAAAAAAAATCCCTTCATCACATTCTACAACCCAATGATTGTTAGGAAAAAGACCTTGGTGTCTTACTGAGTGTCGTAAGAGGCGCTTAATGAGGGACCGCACCGCATTAATAAGTCGATCGGGTAGGAGACGTATTTAGAAGGCTTGACACTGCAATACAACACTACATCGTCCTACACACGCCTTCAATATACAGCACTATATTTTAAAGCTGAAGAACCTTTATGCGTTGTGTTTTTCATACACCAGCCTATAATAATAATCGTCTTTATTTATTCTTGATTACATATTGAGCGTAGAGCTCATCTTCCATATGGTCAAGACATATTAAAATGTACAATATTTACAACCTTAAGAAAGATATGTATAAAACAACTGGACATACAGGTGAAAAGATATAAAAGCAGTTCAAGTAAAACTGCTTTGCAGACCTCTTAGATTCTAAAAGTGATGAGCAGTTTCTGATATGACATGGTAAAAGATTCCACGTCTGGGATCCTTGGTATCTAAAAGATCTCCTAATATTGTTTGACTTATGACATGGTAAATAAAACACATTGGTAGATAAGGATCTAGTTGTCCTTTTCTGTACATCAGATGTATACATAAAATCATTCAAGTTTTGTGGCGCTAAATTGTGAAGAATCTTGTACATAAAAATTGCTTGGTTATATAAAACTCTTTTGCTAAAAGATAACCAGTTCAACCTTTTGAACATATCACAGGAAAGTGTTGTAAAATCACAGTTCAAAATGATTCTAGCTGCCCTCTTTTGCAGACGTTCTAATATTAAAGTGTTCGTTTTAGAGCTGTTTCTCCATACAGTAGAACAATATGTCAATATGTGGGTTGATAAAACATTTGGAAAAGGTCATGCAAGATGACTGACTTACAAAAGGTCTCAGCTTTTTCATCTGAAAAATTTATACTGGATATCTTTTTACATGTATTTAAAATTTGGTTATCCCAAGAGAGACAATCATCTATCGAAACTCCTAAGAGCTTCTCACTTTTTACATTTTCAATGTTAACATTATTGATAAAAATGGACAGATCTGTTTTTAGTTTACATTTCCTCTGCGAAGTACTAACGAGCATGGCTTTCGTCTTTTCTGGTTAATGCACATTTTGTTTTCATCACACCATTTTGGCACCAAATTAACATCATTATTGAGGCTGTTGTTAACATCCTCAAGTAATTTACCTTGTGATTGTAATGAAGTGTCATCTGCGTACATGTATATAGAGCTTTGGGTTGCAATCAGGGATAGATCATTTACATATAAAATGAACAAAGTGGCCTTTCGGAAATCCAGAAAAAGAACACCTGTCAAATTACCTTTGTCAATAGCTTCATACCAACTATTTGTAATGTTGTTAGTGCAGTCTGACATGAATTTTTTTTTTGTAAAGCCAGATTGGTTATCTGTGATCAAATTGTGATAAGTCAAAAACTTATAAGAAATGGACATGCATGTGCTTTTCTATACACTTTGATAAAACAGGCAATACTGATATTGGTCTGTAATTGCACAACAGTTCTTTTTTACACTTTTTGAAAAGAGGGCTCACTTTTGCAAACTTCTGGAAACGTATTTGTATAAACACAGAAATTCATGATTTTACATACAATCGGGGCAATGGATTTGGCACAGTGCTTTAAAAATTTAGCACTTATGTCATCTAGCCCAGTGGCCTTGTTGACATCTAAATTCAATAAAAATTTCTCGATAAAAGTAGTTTCTACTCAGGGGATATTAAAAATACTTCCCTTCAGTTTGTCTTGGGTATACACTTTAAGTCTCTCTAAAGTACCTGAAGTGTCATTGTTACATGTGTCTTTTGCACAGTGTTCCGCTATATTTGTGAAATATTAATTAAAACAGTTACCTGTTTCAGTTTCATTGGTAACATCAACTTCACTTTGATCTTTTATACAACTGGGCAAACTTCAAGATTTCTTTGGAAAAAGTTTTTAAAATTATTCCAGTAGGTTTTTAAAATTTTTACACTGATCTAAACCAGAAGTGAAAAAATTAGATTTTGCAAATTTTATCATAGCTGTAACTTTGTTTCTCCATTTGCGATAAAGTCTATTCGACCCCCACGTTTATGCTTGTTCCGTATTTGTATAGCTATGTTAATGTCCTCTGTCCAACAATCAGGAATGTTTTGATAGCGCACTCTCTTTTCCCTGATTGGGGCATGTTTGTTTGCTATGTCCATTAACAAAGTTCGGAAAGTTTTTAGCATGTCATCTACATCGTCAAAAACATCCAAACAGAACCAGGACACGTTTTCAACATCTTGGTAGAAAGATTCATGGTTGAATTTTTTCATGTATCTGTATTTGATGATGTTTTGTATCTTCTCTTCTTTCTTGCTGTTAACTCGGACAGCGCTGACAGGGTCACCCATAGTTATGGTAGGTACTTCCGTGTATGTTTATGTGGAGTAGTAGTCCATATATGATCTATACATATCCCGTTATCATCTTGTGTCGGAACAGTTACTAGGTTTGTCATGTTGAAACTGTAACTCATCAAATGTTGAAGTTGTCTACTTGATGTACTTTCTTGTAGTGTGTCAATGTAAAAATCACTCATGAGAATGATTTCATCATGATCACAAAATATTTTGTCCAACACTGATTCAAATTATTCCAATCCAACTTTTTTTCAGAATTTGGAGGCCTATACACAATTCCAATAATCAGAGGTTTTGAATGTAGGGGGTCCAATTCAATCCTAAGGCATTCCAAATTTTCAGTAATTAAATCATCTCTCTGAAACTTGTCATCATAGCATCATTTTATTTGAATTTTTATCAAAAATTGTGAGGTTAATCTGAGCACTTGCTTGACTTCAACTTTTCATGAATGAATCTAGCAAGTTTACAATAAAAGATAATGTGTAAATGTATTACTTCAAACTGGTCGTTTGAATACCAAAACAATCCCTTTTTTATTTAGACCAAATCCTGTTCTGGAGAAGCACGAGTCAGCTTTATTAATACTCCTTGGTTTTGGTGGGTTTTCCATCATCCTTGCTCTGATACACAACGCCATCAGGAAACACATATTTCATGATGAAAATAACCTTGACACGACGTTTGACGCCGGAGGTGACGTCAGCACGAGTTTGACGGCGGTAACAGTAGCGTCACAATTGTTTTGGCCCGCCGACATCCTTCAAAGTGCAACCATAACAACAAAGGTAAAGAAGATATTCTGCATTAAAATTTTGTTACATTACAATTTTGTTAAACATTTTATATACACGTTTAAGACTGCTGTCCTCATGGGCTTCACACTTACCGAGTCGTCTGTAGCATAGTATGTCACAGATCAGGTAACAATGGTTTGGGACAGAAAGACAAAAATGGCTCGCCAGAGGTTTGCCACTTTTGTCTTTCTTCACCCTTACCCGAATACAGCTTATATTTTGAGACGCTGACCATGTATTCTCTAGGTATTTATCCTTAATCATTCTATCATTCAAATAACCTTACATATTAACTCTAAAATACATACATAGGTAGGATTTCTAGCTGATATTTATTTATTTATTTTTGTGAAATTAACCTGTTTATATATTGCTTTACGTTTATTGCATGTCCTTCCAAACGTATATTTTTACGCTCTAACCTGCTATTTTACATTTACTATTATAAACACAATTGATAAGTCACTCTGATGTTTTATAGCCTGTCTGCTGTAACAGTTCTAATGGAGTGTAGGGCGTTGTATTTTCCCACAGGTAGTAAAACATATGTTATTGATATATTAGGGGATTGTGAAGCAAAATTAGTCAGCTGTGAAATAGATATTTCATTCTCCAATATACTTCTTACTTATATGTCAGTTCATGGACACGCTTCCTAATACTTATCTTCGATTTCTTGAGAAATTTATAAAGGTGTGAAATGAGATATGTAAATCGAGTGTAAGGAAGGGGTTGATAAACTCTATACAATGGTCACCATACGACCCTTTTTAAACTTTTAAGTGCGTCATGTCCCAATTGAATTCATTCAAGAATTTCCAGATACTGACCACGTCATCAGCAGATACCTGTTAAGGTTTTAACTTAGCAATAATACTGGGGCATGAGACTCTGTCATGGTATAGAAATATCGTAGTATTAAGTTTATGATTATTATAAGATAGATCGGTTGACTTTTTCATGATCGTAATTGTTGATCCATATTGGAGGGTATATGATATTTAAATGGAGAAGAGAATTGCTGTAGGCTCGGGAAATTTTTCCGATTGGACTAGTGATCCTACACCGACTTCCTTAATATCACTTAGTATACACTATCTCTAACGACCGTACAGTGTTTGGTGTATAGTGTATATGTACAGGTCACTCTCATTTGCTACTGATTTCACACGTTCTTTTGATTTTGGGATATATTAAATAGTTTCACAATGTATATAGATTTTTTTTTTCAAATTCCCAACGGTCATGTTCAGTTGTCACAAAAATCAAGTAAATTTATTAATATGATATTGATACCCATATAACCACTAGGCATAGATAATGTGAGTTTAACTGACATTGACATTTGTCTTATATACACAGTGTTAAAGTTTATAGAAAATACTGATTAGTATTAAACAAAATAGTAATGTCTTAGACGTCCGGTACATGTGTACTACAAGATCTCTCTGTTGATTAAACATCTATCAAGTCAGAAAGTGGGATGATGATCTGGTGAAAATCGTCTTAAGATTTATATACACATTACAATGATCACCTGTTCTTGTTATGCTCTTCAGCATTAGTTTACAGAAATGTTTAGAAATCCTTACGAATGACAGGTGATGAAGCCATTCAGAATTTCCGTTTCTTAATGGCTCCGGATACGGTTCAAAATCTGATTTAGATAGTATCCTGTCTAAAGTAACGTTGTGATGAGTAGTTATAAGGTGTTCACCTATACTATTCCATCTACAACTTGTCAATTTTCTTATAAATGATACATTTGTTCAAATGTTCTACAACAGCATGGAATGGCGACTTGAAGCCTGGTCATTCATATCCACTGGTAGTTCCCCTGTTGTTTATATTGTTCTCATTTGGTAACGTGTCATACATGTAACATACTTTGCAATTTTTTTGTTTTTTGGGTTTTTTTTTTTTTTTTTTTTTTTTTTTTTGTTTTTGTTTTCAGTTGTATCCGTGTGTTTTAATCTGATGTTTACACTTGGCATAGTAGTTTCATCGTATTTATTTTGAGCTGAGATTGTGTTGAGATGTCGGTATTTTCTTTTTTTCAATTAGCAATCAGTAACCACGTCCTTTTTGACATTCTAAACGAGTGTACAGCACTTTCTCATAACGATGTGTATCACAATGTTATCATTTTTGTTGTAGATTGGAATAGCCGGGCCATTTTGGTATTCCGTCAGCGTCATTCTCAACATTTTCATCTTTCCAATCTTCTCTGTTCATTTTAAAACACGAGCACCAGGGGCAAAAACCTACCTTCAGGTAAATTGCAATTGTTGTTTGTGTGAATACTTATTAACTTCACCCACATACAGGTAAATTGTTTTCCATACATGTCTTTAACACGAAAACTTACCTACAGGTACAATATTTTAATTGTTGTTCATATCAAGACTGATTTAACACGAACATTTACTTTCTAGATGTCTAAATATCCGACAAAAATAATTAAATCCTATCACAGAAGAAATTCAAATGTATACAAAGTCATACAGTATATTCTGCTGAACCATGTGTGTGTGATTGTGGTGGTTTGTGTGTGTTGTGTATGTGTGTGTGTGTGTGTGTGTGTGTGGTGGTTTGTGTATGTTGTGTGTGTGTTGTGTGTGTGTGTGTGTAGGTGTGACTTATTACAGGTAAATTGATATATACATTATTTACCACAAAAACATCAAGACGAGTACACGTGTAGGCGTTTAGTTTCTAAAATTCTTCTGTGGTGTTTAGTTCATACTACTACAGTATTTTTTGTTCCATTTCCATCATGTTTTCGTGTAAATTTAGTAGTGTTCACATTCAACATTTTTTCGAAAAAGTTTAATTAAAATTGTCACGGCACGCACTTTTATGAACTTAAATATTCATCAATTTCATTTTACATACAACATGTTTCAGTATTAGGATTGTATTGTTAACATCTTTAATATGTAAAGTGAAACATTTCAAAGGTATCGACAGTAATAATTCCATCTAGTTGATTACGTTGTAAACAGTATGCCACATATAACACAGTCGGTAATATATGTACTGTATATATAATGTAATTATCGGTGATCGCGGGCTGTCTGAGGAAATCATCGTGACATATTGTACTGATAAAATGTATTAACGTTTATGATATCTTTATTGCGCACTATTCACTTTAAATCCTACATCAATAAACAGTCTATTATATTGTATATTCTACAACACTTTTTACATTCCATTATATTTACTTTTACATACACGGATAGTTTTCTTCCTTGAATTGACATTATATAAGGACATTTTTTTCAGGTATTTTGTTGATAATATAAAACAACACTATCAATAGCGAACGTGTCCTCCATAGGCCCCAGTAAAGGCTCGTCATAGGCTTGGCATGCTGCGAATCAGGCGCCGTATAGTCATTTTCGGAATTTGTTGCTATTCGTGACGAAGAGCGCTAGCAAGCTCGTGTCGGTTGACAGGAAGCCGCTGACGATTGGCATTGCGTTGATGAAACAGGTCCCACGCACGTTTGATCGGGTTAAGGTTGGCTGAAAGACTAGGACAGTCCATACGCTCGATAGTTTCTTCTTGAAGGTTCTAATTCACAAGTCCAACTGTATGTGGTGGAGCGTTGTCGTCCATCAGTACAAACAAAGGGCCGACAGCACCCGCAAAGAGTCCTACAATTTGAGGGTTTCATCCCGCTACCGTTAACCTGTGAGGCTACCACCTTCAGTCACGTACAAGTCAGTCCTATCAGCAAAACTAATCCTTGCCCACACCATATCCGTGCCCTGGGATCATGCTCAGTGACGCAGCAGTCAGCGAACCTCTCGCCCACCTGACACCAAACACTCCTGCCATCATGAAAGTCCGCAAAAAAGCTGCACTCATCCGTCGCGATTTACATGGTCTGCTGCCAAATATTGCCAAACTCTGCGGCGACGAAGTGTGAAACGAGGGAGTACAGCCGGTCTGTGGGCGTGTAGTCCAGAGCTTTAAGGTCTTTTCCTCACGGTTTGTACGGAAATTCTTCTTCCAGTTGCTTGACGGAAGTCGTTATTCAACCATGTGGAACTTGCACAGCAAAAGTGCTTAAATAAACGATCCTAACGGGCTGCCGTACCCCGTGGTCTACCTGATCGAGGTCTCATTATTCAGAAATGACACTTTGTGACAAATTAAAGCGTGTTGTCACAGTTTGGTGTAGGTTGCACAAGCAAATCGTTACCGAAATGTTATTGTGCATGCCTTGGTGATAAAACAGTTGTCAAGGAGTGTCAAGCCTAATTTATGTTAATGGCAGAAAAAAATTACATATATATATATAATCCTTAACTTTGTGCGTCCAGTATATACATATGATGTAATACAGATGGCCGGGTCATTTTCAACACAGTCATCCGAGACGATCAGTGTCCATGTAAGGTGTTATGATGTTTTCACCTGTTCACTTAAAACCACTCAACCGTAAATCAATGTCATGTTGTATGAAAAGAACTTCCTGATGTGTGAACACCAGTACAAAATTGGCCAGATAATTGATAAAAGGATGTAGTAGATTTCTAAACCTCAAATCTTAAGCAATTTATAATAAATCAACATATGAATCTTTATTTACTGTGATACTTACGTGCTTGTAAATTGTTGTCAAATCCATATCTATTTACTACAAAAACTACCTACAGGTAAATTGATGTTTATATAAATCTTCTTATACCGCTTAAACTTTTGTACATGCAAGTTTTTGGCAACATAAGATTTTTAGTCATCACGAAAAGCTACTATACTATTGTTCGTATTAAACTTCATCGACCTTAAGGTAAATTGTTGTTCACATTTCTTACCACAAATACCTAACTACATGTAATTATTTCTAAGATAATCTTTACCTACTACAAAAGGTTTAGTATCAGTACTTGTCACTTTACAGCAGGGTCGTCATATGAACACACGTTTGTAAACAAGTGACTACTACACAATTATACTAATCTTATTCGCTGTCATATTCAGAAACGATATTGTATCAGAAATAGACTGATGATCCTGACTCTTAGCGTACCATCACAAGGAGGCTTACATCATGTATCTCAACCCCCTTCCCCCGGCACTCACATTTTCTCTGTACTGGTATTCCGTAATTTCCACGAACCTCTGAACAAAATACTGCAGTATAGTGACTTCATCTTATAACTTGTCTTTTCGAAAGAAATACAATTATTCGAAATATACACATGGCCGGCCACAATATAACATCGATACCATTGTTAAACTGACGGTGAGGGTTGATTTGTCTCTGATCATGCGTGACCATGGAAGCTTTGCATAGAGTTAGAACTCGTAAACTTGTACCTTCTTCAGATCGGAATTTGACCCCTACCTTACGAACTCTTATACCTTTATATCATAGATCCTGTTAGAAGAGCAAGATGAAAACACTACCCTCAGGAGATATTAACACACTTAGCGCTAGATAACTTCACATAACAAGGATACAATAATTCACATAAAAATCTTTCCACTTCCATTTATGCAATCACCTTATACTCTTTATATGATATGAGCACAATTGTATGAATTAAATCGTACAGATAACATTAGATACAATAGAACAACAGTTGTGGTCAGTTCCTTGGATATTTCAAAATCTTCGAAAAAAATTATGTGAAAGTTTGGTTTTCTTCACGGTCGAATTTTTCTGTTTTATTGCAGATCATTTACGCCAGATTCGGTAAGAAGGCCCACATAGTATTCTGCTGTTTTGCGCTCCTCACGAATATGGTTATTATGACGGCTTTACTATTGGCTGGAAAATCAACCATTCAATCGTTGACAAAGAATATTTCTGATGAATTCACTCTTCTCATGATGGCGACGTTGTTTGGATCCTACTCTCTGATTGGTGGAATCGGGACAACATTTTATGTGTCCTATTTCAACGTCTGTCTTATATTCGTTTCATTGACTGTTTTCTTTGTAAATGTCTTACATAATAGTGACAGCGATTATGATAATATTGGTGACGCTACCAGAATGTTCAACGTATTATCGTGTGTAAAAGGACCAGAAGAAAACACTGGAAGTAGTTTTCTGACCTTCAGGTCTGGGGTTGGTATACTTTATGGTGTTATAGGTTTCTTTGTGGCATCTGCTGTCACCTACTGTGATCAAGCTTCCTGGCAGAGTAGGATCGCTGCCAAACCTATGCAAGGCGTGTGGGGATTCTTCCTGGCCGGGTTTATGTGGCTGGCCATTCCTTCTACCATGGCTACAACTACAGGCATGGCTTATCTTGCAATCAGCAGTGAAAATAACACGCACCTGTTGACCTCAGACCTGATTGATCAAGGTAAGATTACAAATATTAGACATCTTTTTTCTGTGCTGAGCCGTTTTTTTTTAATAAATAACGTCTATACACAGCTTTTGTGGTCACATATAGGCAGAAATAAACCAAACTGTCAGTAACACAATGGTATCGATGACATGCCGTTTGTGCATTGCAAAAATCATTTTATTTCCTTTGAAAAGACCGGTTTTAAAGAGTTAAAGACGCCGGCACAATACTACACAATATTTGATTAGATGTTCTTGTAAAAATTACGATATTTCAATAAAGGCAAAATGGATATGCTAAACCTCACTTGACCTGGTCTGTGTACTAATTATTATATCCAATGAAATGCGTTGTTGGTCTCCTCATCTTAACTGACCAATTAGGGATGATCACTAGCGAGGGATGACCATCGATGAGAGAGTATCACTGACTTCAACTTTACCCAATAGCAAGCCCGAAAGATAGCACCCGCGAAGTAAAAAGTGAAATTTTTCACATACACTATCAGTCATGAAGTAGTGACACGGAAGTGGAACTTCTATTAATGCTTTACCTCAATGGCGGATAGCAACATGACGCACATAGCAACAAATAGTCTCGCTCACCAAAACGCTTCAATACGTGTGCAGACAACAAGAGTCTGGCTGATCGAGAGACTACGCTATTGGTGTCTTATTCGGCAAACATACAGAGATTATCCGAAAGGATAACAAAATACTAATGAACTAGTTTTGAACACAATATGTACAATATTCAAGGAAGAAAGATTTCCTTAAATATTATTTAAATGTCAAACATTTTGTCATGCTTGTTTATCACAATGAAATACATCACTGATAATAATACGCGCGCTCCAAATGGCTTTGCTATTATCCATATTATGGTGGTTATTGTGATTTGCTTAATTCAATATGTATCTATTTCATCCAGAAGATCTTTATCGTATTTTGGTAATTATCAAGGGCTGGTAACGCCGTTTATCGCTGAGAAAATCCTTGGACCAACGGGAGGAATTTTAACACTTACTATACTGTCCATGGCATTGATGTCGACCGGGTCAGGAGAGGTGATGGCCATCTCGTCCATCATCGTTTATGACATCTTCCAGACCTACATTCGTCCATTTCGGTAAGTCTTGACATTGTGGAGATGTACAAGGCATATGTCATATATCAGCTGGCATTTGATATATATATATATATCAACTGTTACTGATTTTACAGACTCTTCCTAACCATCAAAAGTTGCAAATGGAATCATAATGCAAACATTTTATATGTATGTCAATCAATATTAGATGGTCTACATAATGAACATAACATATTTGGTTGGATATTCTAAGAGTATTCTTGCAATGATAGTTGAATGTAACACGAAAATAGACGGATTGTTGTTATTTCATTTCTTTTACATTCGTCAGTGAGTAACATCTATTTCCTTACCGCCGTATTCTAACACCCACCATTAACGTTTCAGTCAATGTAAATACATCTTTGTATTTTGCATTCCAAGAAATGTGGAAAAAATGACAATTTATGAATTGCATTGCTAACACTTCAAAGTACAGGGTTAAATGATGATATTGTCATAAACAATACAGAAGCTTCTATGATATAGTCCATAGTCATCTGACCTCGGGTCACAACTGACCTGAGAACTCCCTTAAACAAAACATTAGAGACCACTACAAAAGGAAAAACAATCACCAACAATTGATGTTGTCTCCATGGATGTTGCTTACACGAAAAGTAATTGAACACGAACAGCAGTGTATTATATTTGTACCATTTGAATATTTTATTGAAAAATTCAGGAATTGGTAATGGAAATTTGTGATGGACAGAAAAAGAAAACACAACTTTTTAGATCAATTCTTTTTAAGTGTAGTCACACGGGTTTTGAGAGATCCAGATGGACAAGAAATATTGGATGGTTTTAAGATATATGTACACTAGTGGTCAGCTTGCTTTCTTTTAGTAATAACTATTTCCTTGTACGACGTGAAGTGAGATGTGTTCAATGCTCGCTGATTGGTTGTTTGAGCATTCGCTTTGTCATCATTTCAGACGTTTGTCGATGTTTACTCTTCAGGAACCTCTAATCTTATTCTCCTCATGTGCTTTTAGGGTTCTTCGTGTGGATTTTCCGTTCTCCTATACCTTTCCAACGTTGGATGGGAGTTAAATGATCATCTTAATGCCGGTATTCTCGTTGGTTTTTTTACAAGTAGTTACTCGATCAACTTCATTCTAAACCCAGGACTGTTAACGATAAAGAACTAATCATTAAAATTTGAATATCACATGTAATCGATAAGCTTTCTTGTGTTTTGCAGCCATAATCTGAAGAACGCGTACTGCATCCTGTGCGGTAAAAGGATACCAGCTCCGGACTTGGACAGCCCCGCCCCAAAGGAGCAGGACACTCCTACATCAAATACTTCAATGTGTGCTTGTAAAGCTGTCTCGGACTGTCAGCAATGTGCTGAGGATTTGTGTAGACGTGCTCTAAAGAAAACACATGGCGTTCAGTCACCGTACATGTGTACTGTTCACGGTCCCTACCGCACGTACCAGAGGTATCTGATTGACTTTAAGAACTGGTGTATCGTATGGGTGACTATATGTATCATTCCCTACGGTTTGACTGTATTCGCCATAGGTATAGATCTAAACTGGATATTCTACGTGGGAGCCATAGTTACGATACCATGTTTTCCGGCTGTCATTTTGTCCATTGTATGGGTTAAAGCTACCTCTCAAGGACTTATAACAGGTAAATACACTCGATAATCAGGGACATATAGCAAGTAATTATACTCTGAAAGTATAACAGGTAAGTATACGCGATAATCAGGTATTTACAAGTATAACAGGAAGATATTATAAGTACTTACTGTCTTATAAAAGGCAAAGAAAATCAAGAATACACAAGTATAAATGGAAAAGAAATCTGGGACTGGCAACAGGTAAAGCTGGTACAGCTCATTCTTCGAAAAAACACAATAGCAACCAAGTTACTCTTCTTTTATTAATCAACAGGTGTCGAAGAAAATGAAAAAAAAAATTTCTGAACACTATGAACTACTGAGATTTTTTGACCGCGTCTATCGTATATACAAAATTCACGGACACGAAAGACTAATTTGTATGGTACGTGCGAAGAGTTCATTTTCCGCATTGAGAATTTTCACTGGATAGCAACAACCATCCTGCATCCCTGAAAAATAATCGCGATTTTTATATCTTTTTATTTTATATCAACTGACAGACAAACTCATTACACAGGGTTTCAAAAGAAATACAAGTTGGTGAAAAAAATGAGAAAGTTTTACGATATTCACGATTATCTCATTGAGAACTATTCTATTTCTTTGTGCGATATGAAGGTGGATGTGTTTGATGCTTACTGGTTCCTTTGTTCCTTAGAGAATGTCAATAAAACCATAATTCAAACACAAATTCAATAAACATATGTAAATATGAACAAAAGAGAGATCTACAAGGATACTTCTGAAAAAGCACAAGGGAGAATAAGACAAAGTGTTTCGGAAGAGCGTGCGTACTCTACTTTTTCGCTTTACCATGTGCTCACAGATTGAAACAAAGGGCAATTAGTCTGGGGCATCAGAAGGACAAATATATATGCTGAGTATAGTATCACTTTAGGATATGAATATACATATAGAACCGTCATTTTCGATATAAACTTTGAATTACAAACAGTAAATTAAATAATCGATTAATCAATTACATTGGTGACTTTGTCAACCTAGCACTCGTCAGTGGTGCTAGGACCATACACTGATGAAACCTACATTGTGGGAGAACGATTGTGGAAATTCTCTTTGGTCTAAATCAGTGTCAAAAACCTGATATAGGGGTGTCCTAGTCCCAAAACTCGTTCAAATTCCATATCTTTTACATTGCATGACGTAAACGAATTTCAACTGCTATATTATGAACCTGACCTCTATTCGTATCAATGAAAACGCAGAATGTGGGTTCCTTCTAACCTCGGGGAGTTAAGATCAACATCAATGTCTTTCACCTGCAAACACCAAAATCTACAAATGCAACACAGAATATCAACAGATTCTGGATTGAAACTCAAATTCGATGAAAATTGGACAAAATATGAAGAAAAGATTTTCATAAAGATTCATGAAAAAGTACAAGGAGTATAAGACAATGTGTTCCAGAAGAGTAGGCTTTTTCAATCCATCGACGACACCCGCCATGTAAATCTGGTCCATCCAAGTAAGTACTGTCACGTTCTCAAATGAGAACAAGGTATACAACAATGGAAAAATTAGGAACACTAACAAGCATTAAAAAATTCATATCGTTTAAGGAAAAAGCATATTCACAAAAGAATAAAGAGAAAGATTTCGCCACTGGATAAGTACAAATGTGATAATCCCAGGTTCTCCGAGAAAGTTTACGTCTTCAGAAATATCTACAATATTCGTCAAGTTACAAAACACATACGTGTAGAATGTCTAGTATTTGCATACTACTAGCACAATCTACTCAAATAACTAGTATATCAGAATGTAAATTTAATATTGTCTTTTGGGCAAGTGGTGCGTAGTGTTAAACGACAACACTTAAGAGATATGCAAACTGGAAAAATAATCTTGCTTTCATGAAAAGCAACAACGATTTCTTCGATTTATTAATGTTTTAAATCAGTATGCTGTTATAACAACACTGAAAGTAATTCAAAAGTGGTCTAATTATGTTAGCATGTGTATTTTGCCGCTCAGGAACACTTTGACAGGTGACCCATTCACAGTTTAGGGTATCTGTATAAATCTTATTCACATTTTACACTCCTTTGATTATGACTCCCTTGACTCTATTTCTGGTATTTTGTTTTTGAAATAATGTCATATTTCTAATTGATTGGTGTACTGTCATATTCCTTTACAATTTCAAGCGGGGAATTATTCTACATCATTGTTGTCAGAAGCAATCTAATATTGCATAATCTAATTTATTTTTAGGGGGAATAACCGGTTTGTTAATCGGTGTTGCCGTCATGCTTGGTGTTGCATCAACGTACGAGGGAGGCTTGAGCAAATTTCTTTTGAATACGTCACAAGATTACTCTATTTTGGCGGGAACATGTTGCAGTTTCGGTGTTAGTTTGATCACGTGTATGATTGTATCCGCTTTTACTCATGAAATTAAGACTGATGCTGATGCTGATGCTGAATGGAAAAAAATGTACGACATTGATAACCCTCTCCATCCGTGGGAGTTGCATTTGCGTGAAGAGCTCAAGCAACAGGTGTACAACAAAAAGCCATCATATGGACAAATAGCAGCTGCATTTAGGCATGCCAAATTCACTGCTTACATAGGAGGGAGTATTTGTGTCATTCTAGTCACTTTTATCATTCCCGGTATCATGGCAACATTCCCCGTCCTGAACGCGACTCAGTTTGATGTTTGGGTCGGATTAACGCAGGGCTGGGCAATAATCATGGGGATCGTGGCTATTATAGCGCCCCCTGTAGAAGAAATATTAAAGATTCGTAAACAGTATCTTCAAAACAAAAAAGATGTCATTAATTATAGCCTGTGACCCCTATAGTCAGGGCACTACTTTCAAAATAGTACCTAAAGCGTAAAATGATAGAGAATCATTGTAGTAACACGTTGTCGTACGGGGAACATACTAGAATGGTACGGATCTCAATCCTGTGTCACGATGAGAGCAGAATGATTGTGTATGTAAGTCTTATGTAGAATTCTTTATTCGGGATTTCATTACTTTGTTTTCTATCAGTAACAATTACCTATGCATATATAAGGTAGAATTTCGTTTCTATTTTACTCTCAATGTATAGATATTGAAAAAAGAAGAAAACAATGTTCGCGTGAGCAACCTGGTTTATATTATAAAATGGTGTTTGGAATGTTATATAATATACATAATGATAACCAAAATATATGTTTTTTTTACATAATGCCTTTACAACGGCAAGAACTCACGAACTGTAGCTGGTTTAATGATTGTATGCAAATCTACTTGCAAGTTGTATATCTGGGGAATCAGAGAGTCGAATAAATTATATTTGTGGACAAATCACAGCCACCGTTGAGCAAGGTGTATTTTTCCTTATGTACTTGTCTTTGATAAAAGCAATGCTTCTAAATAGCGTAAAAATAAATCGAGATAAAGGACGGATACTGTTAAGTCGTTAATTTTTGTCGGGGATTTTTTTCTTTGATTCCGTCGGTAAGCTTAATCCACGAATTTACATGTCCTCGAACTGTTAATATAAATATAAGATTTATTGACTGATATTTATCAAAAGAACCAAATGTCCATGAAAAAAGTTTTGTAAGCCATAAAAAAATCTGGTTCCGAGAAAATATATGGTTTTAGAGTAGAAACAAACTAGAAAGCAAACTCTACACAAAAAGATACGACCGGAGAGTCGACATATCGGACACCATAAATCCACACACAGGACAGATGGGTTGGCCGAAGATCTGATACCAGTCACAGTGATCAGGGACACTGTAAACTGTGACGGATTGGATATCGTACCCCTTAATCCATGTGTTAACCGTAACATCTGCAAAGACATGAAATAATTCCTGACATCAAATCTTGTCGAGTAGATATAATTTTCATTTTTTTTTTTTTTTTTTTTATCACGGTGTTAAGGGAACATTTTTGTATTCCATCTTACAAACATCATGGTATGACGATCACATGTGAGATAATCTAGCTCATATATACGAATATTTTCTCATTCATTGTCAGTAATTTGATATTGTGATAGTGTGGGAAGATTCGAGTAAACGACTGGAATTATGTAGATGTATTCTTGATTTCTGAAATTTAGGATGTAAAAAACAAGATCCCTCTAACCTCTCAAACACTACATGGCGGAGAATCTCCATCGACTGGTGGATCTGACGATGTAAAAAGAATACGCCCGTACCTGCCAGTGTGGGTGGCAGATAATAAGCTATCGTATCAGTCCTGTTAGGATGTGCTTTTTGGTGGGATTTGGTATATCATTATTGTAAGTTATTACAGTAACTTTAACTGTTGAGGTTTCTTTTATGCTGATACTGATGTTTCGAAGAAACAATATTATTTGAATCTTCAGTTTATGAATTCTGTTTGACCTCGTGAATGATCTTAGGTGTCACCAATATCTGTGTCATTCACAGCCCACTGAGTGTACTTCTTTGTCTGAGGTGAATTGAAGGAAGTGTGATCTATTGCCAGGATAATGCTGTTTTGGACCAACAGTAAAACAAACGTAATACTTTGATGTAGCTACATTCTGTTCTAATACATATGTTATGATGGAGGGTATGTTCATTCAGGTGATTATTTGGCATGCCGAACTGTCAGACTTTGTAAAGCAGATACAGAACTTTTCAGTTGATCCAACATGCAGCGGTTATGCACTGGATGTGTTCTTGAAACGTTTGTTCGCTGTTTACTTTTTCACATTTACAGATGATGAGATCCTTGTTATTGCATTTGTGAAAAAAAAAAAAGAAAAAAATTTCCAGCCGCTAACTTCTTTCTCCAATACAAAGCTTTCAGTGGGCGTCATTATTATCGCATATTGAAACAGGACTATATATATATTTGATATGTAGTGACTGTTTGGCCTCGTCATTTACCTATGCGTATATCGATTTTTAATATCCATGCGCCAAAAATAAGTATGCGAATGTGAGAACGTGCGAGAGAGGAAACGAGACTACACGAGAACGATTCATTTGACTCGCCTCACCATAAGATTACACCTGAAAACAGGCGCATACATATCTGAAACGCGGTACGTTTTTGTACTTATTTGGCTTGCACTTTTAAATGCTATACTGTTGCAAAAAACGTCTGGTGAATGACTGCAATAAGCTAGTTTATGTCATGTACTGTCTATTATTGGTAATCGGGGCGGTCCGGTTATGCGGAACGGTGTTTACTTCGTATCCATGTTTAATTCATATACGTCAACAAGCCCGTAATGCTTGCTAAGAGAAAATTATATTTGATTTTTACGAATTCGTAGACATGCATAGGCGTTACGCATCAGTTATCATACAGGTAAACGCGTGGTACATTTTTTAAGTATTACTATGAGGTAGTTATCTGTTATTGTTGATAGCCGAATGGGATTCCTTAAACTTACCTTTATACATGGAAAAGTTAATAGTATCTTATATGTGTCTAAATCTATAATAACTTGTATAGATACAGCTTATTCATGCTCACTTGATAAAAAATTATATCATGTGTTATATGGACCTAATTACATATCTATAAAGTCAATGTATATATTCAGAAATGGTATAAGGAGTAGTTATTTAACTAGGTGTTACTTTACTCGGAAGTATGGAATATAGTGTGTAATTATATATGTTTATCATCGTTTGTTTCCATGAATTTTGAACGAAATTTTATTGATAAGGCATTGGAATATTTTAATTTTGGTTCGTCCTGAAGAAAATGGTTTCATACCTTTCTATACTGATTCTAAAAGTTGTATTATTAACAATGGTCATTTGTTACCCCTTTTCAATCTCGAGCGTGGCTGTCACCAAGGAAACCTATTATCTCCGTATATTTCATAATTGCTGTTGATGGTCGCACACATTCATTATCAACCGCTGTACATATTTTTTATTTTGCTGTTGTATCAGGGTTGAAGGTTAATTTACATAAGTCAAGCCTTTATTGGATTGGAAGCAAGAAATTTTCAGAAGAAAGAATATGTCCAGAACTGAATTTAAAATGGTCAGCAGACAATTTTAACTACTTGGCATTACTTAATTTACAGGATATCGAAATCATCAATTTTGATTTTTAAAATTGCAGCAAATAGATACAGGGGTATGGAAAGATAGTTTAAACCATTAGGCACAGGACTAGTGGACTGAAAAATTTACTCGTCCGAATTTGAAAATCACTTGTCCAAATTCAGCCATGAAATGGCAACTTAATCAGCGAGGATGTGACATGATTTTTTTTTCTACTTTTATTTTAAGTTTTAGGTAAAAAAACTATGCAGTGATTGCTGCTTTGCGTCAGACATTGTGCGCGACTTAGGCCTATCTGTAGAGTTTGTTTATACAGACCGGTACATGTTGGTACCGCCCGAGAACACCTGAAATCAGTATGACTGCGGGAAAATGACTAAGGTATTCCGAATGCTATATTTGACGTAATGGGAGATCCGGTGTAATCAAAAGTTAGAGTGCAGACTGGAATATTTTGTTTTCGAAGTACCGTAAACACGTTTCTTTGTTTTAAATTTTCTTTACATTTTAGTAACATTAATTTCATTCGAAAAAAGTACTCGTCCGACGGACGACTGACAAAGATAAATCTGGTTGTCCGAGACAATTTTCACTCGTCCATGACGAACAGACGAGTGCTTTTCCGGACCCCTGAGATATAGCGATTTTAGCCATGTCAAGATCTTACTATTATTGGTCGAATGACAATTATTGAGACTCTTGTTATACCAAAGTTTGTACATGAATTTACCAGTTAACCAAACCCTTCCAGCTTGTTTATTAATAAACTCAGTCGGAGCTTATATAATTTCATATGGAATTATCAAAGTGAAAAAATTAAACGTGATACATTAATTGCTAGCATAGATGAGGATGGATTGAATACGACTCATATATGTTCTTTCATTTAGTATTTAAAAGTCTAATGGATGAAAAGAGCACAAGGAGAATCCTCCTTAAGGAAATATTGCCAGGTGATATTGATACATTAATGATCTAGGTAGAGTAAATCTTATAGAAATTTGAAGAAAGATATATAACAAAATGGCAGGACATTTGTTTTGCTTTATCAGAAATACAGTTCGAGACCACTAATTCTCACGAATATTTCTGCAAGAGGTTGATAAATTTTGTTTCATATAATAAAATAAGAAAAGCGATTTTGTGGAAACAGTATGACTTAAAGATAATTAGTTATCTTTATGAAAAATAGAAGGCACAACAACTATATTGAATTATCCGATATACCTTCATTTGATTTTATGGAGCATTTGACTTAGTTGGAAAGGAAGTGGAGGATAGATTTGGTAACACTATTACACCTATTCAACAGAAGGACATGATTTCTTTAATTATGACTGAAAGAAACTTGAAGTATATTTATTAAATGTTCATCGAAGAAACAGTTATCAGGACATTAATGTATCAGGAAAATAAAAGTTAAATATATATATTTTGATGAAAAAATGAAATTAGATGATGTATACAATAATTCTTTTTAATGAATTATAGAAATCAAACTTCAAACATTCCAATATATACCCTGTTATAGAATTCTTTCCACAAACTGTATTGTTGAGAAAAAAAGGAAGATGATATCTAGTGAGCTTTACACATTTCGTGAAATAGAACCACAAACAGTGAACACATCTTCACTGAGTGTCATTTCATAGTCAAACTTATATGAGAATTTACTGCTTCGTACGCACTATACAAAAATCAATTCAATTCTATATCTTTTCAAGATGAAGACATTTTGTTTGGAAATTCAAAGTTTGGAACTTGTTTAAATCATTTTAGTTTATTGTT